TGTTGAAAGAATCAGTTGACCCAAGGTAGGTCAGGTTTTTGAAGAAGTTTGCTTGCCATAGGCTTAAACTGAAACCAAAAGGTCGATAGTACAAATCCTCGGAGGCCGGGGGGTGCACGGGACGGCCATAACTACGTGATGAGTCGTCCATGTCGTTGGTTCGTCCTCCGTGGAGAGGACACGGCCGAGTTTGGTGTTTTCCACCAGGATGGTAAATCCTTTGTCTCTTCCAGCATTTTTCACCCCTCTGCGCATTTCCCTCCAAAACTACAAACAGGGAATCATCAGTGCATCCACGTACACTGCGTCGCCAGGGGACATTTCACACTGGCCTTGTCTCGTCTCTCACGTTACTTGTCCCCGCCGTCCTCAGTGGCCAAGTCTTGTAAACCACAAGCAAAAGCGAGAAGAAATGGGTGGTTTTACCGTGACGCTGCCCCAGGATGCCCTGCGGGTACATTCCTGCCTGTGCCTCCACGTTGTTACTGCGGTCCATGGGCGGTATAGCATCTTTCCCACTCTCCCTCTCTCTGGAGAATAGTGTGACCAGTTTCCTCTGCCTCTCGGTTCTCTTCTCTTCTCTGTGTGCGCACAATCTTCCACAAAACCTCAGACGCTCCCCACCCACCGTCCGTATCTGCCGCCCATAGTCCATTGGCCCAACAGCATCACCCTGCGCCTCCTCTGTTCTCCGTCTTGTTCTTGCCCGAGAGCAGCCGTAGATCAGTCCAGACAAACTAGCAAACCAACCATAGATCAGTCCAGACAAACCAGCAAGCCTCTGAAGATCTCCTCTTGCTGCAAGAATCCAAGAGAGGGGAGTTTTGTTAGAACAAGCTCGTCGCCTGCCTTGCCTTGCCAGCCAGCCTCCGCGTCGTTGCAGGTTCTTCGCCGTTTCTTTCTCTGTTCTTCTGCTAATCAATCCCTAGTTGGTCCCGGGGTGATGATTTGGGGTTCTTGATTGTGCTCCACTGGTAGATATGAGGTTGCTCGCGCGGTTCTTGCCTTTTGTTTTTGGTTGTTGGATTTAGATGGTACAGTGGTTAGGTTGCTTTGTAGCTGGTTCTCCTTGGATACCCACCTAGCAAGCAAGCAAGCTTTCATTCCCACCTGAAATAGGTCGGAGTCCTTTGATTCTCCTGGTTCTACAGACTGATTTGTGGTGAAATCATCGGAACTCTGGAAGATCTTTTGTGTATTTCACCCCCAACAACAGACGGCATGCATCTGTAAGGAGGGATACATCGTTAGATAGCCGAGCTTTAAACCAACAGCTGCTTAATCTGAACCTTCTTGTAGCCATTTACAGTAGCAGATTTTCAGATGCTGACTGAAAGTCTGAAACCTTGTCTTCTGCTCTCTTTTTTGACTGAAAATCATGTCTCTTTATGCATCAGTTATTTGGTTGATTCTTTCCAAGGTAGGCACCGAGAGGAAAGATGGTCTCACTCGATTTATTTCTGCTACTTGCAGCTCTGTTATTAGAGCTATTGGGTCAGGCTGCGGGCTGCCTGGATCCTGGATGGGCAGGCCTAGAGGTGGGAAGGCCAAGGAATCGATGGAAGCTGCGAAGAACGAGGACGCCGGTAGCGCGGGCGAGGAGGTGATCCCAGCCTACAAGAGGAGGGGACGGCCACAGAAGCTTCGCAAGCACGACGCCGATGAGGAAGAGGACACCGCCAAGGTTGAAGACGACGGCGACGGCACAAAAGAAGAGATTGCGCCACGCAAGGAGTCGACGGGCGCAGCCGGGAATGGAGGGAAGAAGAGGCGGCGGCAGTCGAAGCGCGGGTCGGAGTCAGCGACGGACGGGAAGGGCGGCGCTCCGGCGAGAGCTCCAACCGGATTCCGGCAGAATGGGAGCCGGCGGAAGAGCACCCCGCGGAGAGCTGCGGAGGCGGGGGTGGAGAGCAAGTGAGGCTCCGAAGACTGAAGAAGTGTGACGTAATGAGGAACTGCCTAATTGCAGCAAGTAGTTATGTACTACTCCAGTAGCTTGAAAATGCACTATTAGTGGTAGCTTTTAGATTTATTATGAGTTACTATGACATTATGGATTTTAGGGGTTTATGTCAGTTGGTTCTATGGCCAGTGCTAATGGCTGGCACATGGATTAAAACTTTATGAGAGGTACTCCATTTACAGAGGGCTAATTGCTTCCCCGTGCATGACATGCCTGACGAAAATGGCAATTACAGTATTGTTTTGTTCTTAAAAGCTTTCTTTTGAAAAAACTTAGAATTTATTCATCAATAGTCGGCAGTAGTAACAAATA